GGTGTGTTGGAACTGCGAGAAGCCTGGGCATATGAAAAGCGAATGCCGGGCACCAAAGAAAGACAAAGAAGGCCGGACAGCCAATGCCGCGACGGAGGACACGGCAGATGCACTCTTGTTGAGTGTGAGAAGCTCGCTCGATGACTGGATCATGGACTTAGGGGCCTCATTTCACTCATGCAGTAGCAGAGACATCATGGAGTCATACACCGCAGGTGATTTTGGCTTGGTATATCTTGCAGACAACAAATCCCTAAAAATTGTAGGGAAGGGAGATGTGCAGATCAAGTCCGCAAATGGGTCATGTTGGACCCTACGTGATGTGAGACACATTCTAGGACTGAAGAGAAATCTCATCTCAGTTGGACAGCTGGACAATGACGGCTTCCACACAATGTTTGGAGACGGAAAGTGGAAGGTCAGCCGAGGAGCTATGACTTTGGCAAGAGGGCTGAAGTCAGGAACGCTTTACACGACGAGTAGATCCAGCTCAAACATTCTCCTGGCAGGAGCTGTCTCACAATCGCACTTGTGGCACAATCGCTTGGGCCACATGAGCGAAAAAGGAATGAAGGTACTAAAGTCGAGAGGACTTTTGCCCGAGTTGGAGTCAGTGGACGTGGGTCTCTGCGAGCAATGCGTGCTTGGAAAGCAGAAGCGAGTGAGCTTCATAACCACCGGGAGAGCTCCAAAGACAGAAAAACTGGAGCTCGTGCACACTGACTTATGGGGGCCAGCACCGGTGACATCTTTTGGAGGATCGATGTACTACATGGCGTTCGTCGATGACTGCACAAGAAAGGTATGGGTGTACTTTCTGAAAATAAAATCCGAAGCCTTTGATACTTTCAGGAGATGGAGAGCACTCGTGAAGAAAGAGTCAGTTCTGGAAGTGAAATGTCTCAGATCCGACAACGGTGGCGAGTACAACAGTGAAGCCATCAAAGAATACTGCGCTGATCGTGGGATCCGGATGCAGAAGACGGTACCAGGGACACCTCAACAAAATGGCATTGCGGAGAGGATGAACAGAACACTGAATGA